GTAGCTGGGATTACAGGCACGTGCCACCATGCCCAGCTAATTTTTTGTATTTTTAGTAGAGACGGGGTTTCACCATGTTGACCAGGATGGTCTCGATCTCTTGACCTCGTGAACCACCCGCCTCGGCCTCCCAAAGTGCTGGGATTACAGGCTTGAGCCACCGCGCCCGGCCCGCCCAGCTAATTTTTATATTTTCTGTAGAGACAGGGTTTCACCATGTTGCCCAGGCTAGTCTTGAACTCCTGGACTCAAACAGCCCACCTGCCTCAGCTTACCGAAGTGCTGAGATTACAAGCATGAGCCACTGTGCCTGACCTTCAATAGCTTTCTAAATAGTCCTTCTTGCTGCTAATCTCTCTCTCCCTAGTGATCCTACAATCGGCCATTTGAGTTAGCTCTCCAAAGCACAAGTCTTCCAACAGCTACAGGATAAAGTTCAAACATCTTACCAGAATGTACTTCAAACTCTGACACCAACTATTTGTTTAATGTGTGACTCCTTAATAGACTGTCCATTCTGTCAGGGCAGGGGCAGCCTTGGTTTTTGTACCCTCAGTGCCCAACGTAGGAACCTAGCACATAGCAAATGTTCAATAAATGTTTGTTTAAATAAAAGTGTCTCATTTCCTGCTTCCCCTATGTGGCCCCTGTGTCTTAGCACCTTGAATCATTTGTCATTTCCTGACTATGACGTACATCGCCATGCAATTCCCTCTGCTTACAGTGTTTCCCAACTTACCCCGTTCTTGGCCAAGACGTACTTTCTGGGTCTGGCTTAGTGAAAATATGTGCATTTATCTTCTCCAGAACAACCAGAGGTCACTGGCTTATCTATAACCATTACCAGAAAAGCCTGCACAGGTCTGCAGCCCTTGCCCATGGTCCAGACCAGGACCCATACCATGCTCAGACATTTGAGCACTCTCACCTGGGCATTTGGTTATAGCCAGCATTGACAGATTGGAGTAGTTTTCTGCCAGGCATACCAAAGTACCCCTCACCAGGTGAAGGCCAGGGGAGCACTGGCATCTGGGGCTCATCTCCCTTCCACTCAAACTTCTACTGGTTTGAGAAGATGGAGTCAGAAGCCACATCAGCAGCCATCTCAGGTTCCTGGTAGGATGTAGCTTGAGTGACCCTGAGGCAATGGGTGGATTTGTTTGCTGCTTTCCCACTCAGGGCTAGCTGGAAGGTGAAAATACAGTTTGAATTTATAACCAACTGCTTTCTTCCTGCCCTTCAGGAGTGTCACCGTCTGGACCAGGTGTGGTGGTCATGCAGCTGAATGTCCCTAATGGACCCCAGCCACCCCAGAACCCATCCATGGTCCAGTGGAGTCATTGTAAATACTACAGCATGGACCAGCGGGGTCAGAAGCCTGGAGACCTGTACAGTCCTGACAGCAGCCCCCAGGTGAGTGCTGCACCCAGCCTTGTCTTGGCAAGGAGACGACTGTATTCTTCCCAGGGAGCAATGTTTGCTGTTGACTGAGCAGCATCTTTTCCTGGGTGCTTTTTGGGGAGAAACACAAGAAATAGAGAGCATCCTCTTTTAAGGAACCTAATATCTAAGGTGGCAGATGGGATACACACTTAAAAATGCTCAGAGAACACTTAAATCAATGTGCCAGAAGTGGATATTAAAATAACATAAATGAGCCAGGCACCGTGGCTTACGCCTGTAATCCCAGTACTTTGGGAGGCTGAGGCGGGCGGATCACTTGAGGTCAGGAGTTTGAGATCAGTCCAGCCAACATGGTGAAACCCTGTCCCTACTAAAAATTTAAAAATTAGCCAGGCGTGGTCGTGGGTGCCTGTAATCCCAGCTACTTAGAAGTCTGAGGCAGGAGAATCACTTGAACCCAGGAGGCAGAAGTTGCAGTGAGCCAAGATTGCGCCACTGCACTCCAGCCTACCTGGGTGATAGAGCAAGACTCTGTCTCAAAAAAAATAAAATAGCATAAATGAATTATGGACTGAGGTAGCAGTTTGAAGGAAGAGTCTGACTTTGGCAGCATTCAGCAAGAGAACCTTATTTCCTGAGAGACGTGAATTTTAAGCCAAGCCATAGGAATATCCAGAGGGTAACATTTGATGTTCATGTGATGTGTGCTCCTCTTTTCCACAGGCCAACACACAAATGAGCAGCAGCCCTGTCACATCTCCTACCCAGTCTCCAGCACCCTCTCCTGTCACCAGCCTCAGCAGCGTCTGCACAGGACTCAGTCCCCTGCCTGTCCTCACACAGTTCCCCCGGCCTGGGGGTCCAGCACAGGGTATGGGGTTAAATTAGGGCTGGTGCTGTGGAATTTACCCTTCACATCCCATTCCCAATTGCAGAGATTGAAAGAGTAACAACAGGCAGGACACCAGTGTGGATGATCCAATTCTGGGAACTAACTCCTTTAACATCCCTCAGACACTTGCCCCTCTCTAGTGCTGTCCATGGTTAACTTCCTTTAGCCTTCTTTACATACTTAGTACTTACAACCAAGTAGGGTGAAAAGAGCTGGGGAAAATGAGTTCACTGAATTTTCTAATGACCAAAGAGTTTAACCTAACATTAGTACTGAGTCTGAGGGCTGGGAATGTGGGGCTTTTTAAGAAACAGTATGGTCTTAGAAAAGGAAACACTAAATTTGGTTTCAAAAGTTCCAGTCTCAGGCCGGGCGCGGTGGCTCAAGCCTGTAATCCCAGCACTTTGGGAGGCCGAGGCGGGTGGATCACGAGGTCAAGAGATCGAAACCATCCTGGTCAACATGGTGAAACCCCGTCTCTACTAAAAATACAAAAAATTAGCTGGGCATGGTGGTGCATGCCTGTAATCCCAGCTACTCAGGAGGCTGAGGCAGGAGAATTGCCTGAACCCAGGAGGCGGAGGTTGCGGTGAGCCAAGATCGTGCCATTGCACTCCAGCCTGGGCAACAAGAGCGAAACTCCGTCTCAAAAAAAAAAAAAAAAAAAAAAAAAAAAAAACCCCCCGAAAAAAAAAAAAAAAAAAAAAAAAAAGTTCCAGTCTCACCACTGATTAGCTTTGCAATGTTCAGCAAATTACTTAAACTCAAAACTAGACCACAGTTCCTAGTCTATAAAATGGGGTTAAACTGCATTGGAACTGAATCAATTACAAAAAAATAAAATAAAATGGGATTAATCACAAATAAGATGGGAATTTTATCTGCTTTCTTCCCTAGCTATCATAAGCAGTATAAAAATGAGAGCATAGTTTAAAAACTTTAAATTGCTCTGAAATGTAATATTTATCAATAATAAGTAACGCTTAATGGTACTTAATATGTACCAGGCATTGCTATAAATGCTTTACCTGCCTTATATTTGTTTAACCTTTCCAACAACATTAACGAGGGAAAAAACATACACAACATCATATTTTCAGTAACAGAGCCACTATTTTAACTTAGGCAGTCTGGTTCAAGTCTCTGCTCTTGTCTGCTATGCTCATTTTGCCTCACATGAGCCAGAAACTTGAACTCTGGGTTTAGGGTTTGGGAGAATCTATGTAAAAGACATCCAGGCACAGTGGCTCATGCCTGTAATCCAAACACTTTGGGAAGCCGAGGCAGGCGGATCACCTGAGGTCAGGAGTTTAAGACCAGCCTGGCCAACGTTGTGAAAGCCCATCTCTACTAAAAATACACAAAAAATAAAATAGCCACGCATGGTGGCACATGCTTGTAATCCCAGCTACTCAGGAAGTTGAGGCCGGAGAATCACTTCCTGGGAGGCAGAGGTTGCAGGGAGCCGAGATCGTGCCATTGCACTCCAGCCTGTGTGACAAGAGTGAAACTCTGTCTCAAAAAAGAAAAGATATAAAAGACATTAATAAGGGTAAGTTTCTTCTCTGATCATTTTCATAGTACTGTTGTCTACAGTGGATAGAGCCTTTCTTCAAGGATGATGGGACCTTGTAATCCCATTTGTCTGTGAGATACAGTTGAGAGCCAAAGGACTTAAGAAGAGAAACAACTTTTACATCAGTCACGTGGACATTCCCATCATAGAAAATTAGGAATAGTATGCATTGTTGCTATTTCCAAAGCCCCTTGAAGTCTCATAAAAATCGTACCATGAAGCTTAAGCTCCCAGAAAACCAATTGCTCTTACTCCCTAGGTGATGGGCGCTATTCCCTTTTGGGCCAGCCATTACAGTACAATCTGTCCATCTGCCCTCCCTTGCTCCATGGCCAGTCAACTTACACGGTGCACCAGGTAAGAGTGTCCACGAGCAACCATAGAGCTGTCAGACCCCTCTTCTTATTTAGATCCCTATCTCTAAGCTTCAGCCAGCTTGGTGTACAAGGGAAATAACACGGAATGAACAAAGCAGAAGGCTCGCCCTGCCTTCTGTACTCATGTCTCCCACCTGACCCCCGTGCCAAGGGGAGGGGCTCTTTGTTTCTCAGTCGCTGCTCCGTGGCCAACCTGCCTGCCTGGTGGGGTGGGGTCCTCTGGGTTGGGTGCTACTCCACCATCTCTCAGGCAGACATTGTGATGCAAGGTAATCAATGCTGTTTACATGGGATGAGAGTCATCTTTCAAATTTTGAAGGGACAGAGTGGATTGAAGCATGGAAACCGGGGCAAGAGACAAGCACTCAAATCTGCCTCCACTGACCTGGGTACAGCAGATGTTGGTGAGTCACAGGATGCTGAATCCCCAAGAGAAAGTGCCCACCTTTCCAGTCCTTCATTACCAGTCCAGGACGGGTGGGAAAAGCCAGCTTAGGATGGGGAGTGGAAATGGGACCCTTTGTGCTCAAAAGCAAGCAGGAACTGGAGAAGTAACGTATCTCAGTCCTTACCAAGCCATCTCAGATTCTGAGGAAGATCATGGGAAAAACTGAGAATAACACAATTATTGCTTCTTATTAATAAGAGTTTTCTAATTAGCGTCCTGTCCCTAATCTAGGACATCTACCTTTGATAGTCCTAGACCCAGTTTAGGAGAAGATTGGTAGAGAATATGGGGGAGGAACTCTCCTCCTGCAGGCCTCCCACTAGGTGAACAAGATCTGTCTTGGGATTTGGAGCAGTTTCCTAAACAAGGAAAGGAAGGGAAACTGACTTCCTGAGATGATAAGAAGGAAGAATCTATTTGAGCTAGCCTCTGAGTGGAAAGGGAACTAAGGAACATATTTCAGATTGATAAATTACTGTTAAAGAACATCAGTGGCCAGGCTCAGGGACTCACGCTTGTAATCCCAGCACTTTGGGAGGCTGAGGAGGGCAGATCATCTGAGGTTGAGAGTTCAAACACCAGCCTGACCAACGTGGAGAAACCCTGTCTCTACTAAAAATG